CACAACATGATTCAATATACCCACTATTAATCAAAATTAAGTTTAAGCATCATGACAGCTAACAATCCCCAATCAACATAGTCATAGGCTTTACTGATGTCAATTTTTAGAGTTACATCGTCTCTACGACCACTTCTCTTGCATTACAAGTAGTGGATAAATTCAGAAGCAACCAAAGAATTATCTATAATAGATTGACCATTAAGAAAGACAAATTGTTCAAAATAAATACACTTTGATAGAATAGCTCAAAACATGTTCACAATAGCTCAATTTTTTTTTAAAATTAAATTAATAATAAATAATTTATTATTAATTTTTAATGTATTTATAATAAATATCTTTATAATTAATTTAAGCAATGTAACCTATTTAGGATTTATTTGGTATACGATAAATTTTTTCATGCATAAAAAAATATGATTTATGAGAATTATAAATCTTAGGAATCATAATTCTTGAAAATGATGAAAATCTGTTTAGTTGACCATAAATATTTATAAGAATATTTATAAATATTAGTTAAAATTAAAGACTTTTATTACATTAAATTAAATAAGTAAATAAAGATAATCAGACATTTTTATCGCATTGAATTTTTTTTTAACTCAGAAAAAATGTTAGTTTTTCACCTCTTCCATAAGAACAATTTGGTGAAAAACTTTTGTAAAATCCAATTTAGGGAAATAATATCTTCAATGAATGTTATTTTTTAAATAACAAATTAAATATAAAAAAATTAACATTTACAACTTCAAATTCTTAAAATAGTAAAAGTTTTTTTGTGTGTCAAACGTCTCTTAGTGTGAACACAGAGATTGTTCCAACTAATGTTGTGATATTATTTTTTTTTATAAATTAAATTATAACATAGTTGGACAAACTTTCCTAAAAGTAATTTAAGAAATTTTTTTTTATAAAAAATTTAGAATAAATTAATTTACAATATTTTATATTAACTTTTTTAAAAGAAAAATGTTATTGCACTTTCATTAATATTTTTTTTAATACTTTTCTATTATTATTATTATTTAAAAATATAAACGTATAAGGACCAAACATGAATATTCACTAAATGAGATGTGTGACCATAAACATTGTGATTTCCAATGATTTTCACAAAAAAGATTTTTTTTTATAAAGAAAGTGTGTTAGAATTATGCTTTTCAAATTTTTTTAAAGTTATTATAAGTTAGTTTTAATATATAAAAAAATCTAGCTTATTTATGTATTTTTAATCCTAAAACTACTTATAAAGAAATTTATTTAAATAAATTTTATGTACTACAAATATAAAATAATTTTGACAAATTCATACACTTTTACAATAATTATCTAATAAATCAAATAAATAATAATTTTTAATCAGTTAATATAAACTCTATATATTAAACATAAACGTATTTTTTGTGTGAAAATATTTTTTAAAATTTTTATTCAATGGGCGCGGACGGAGGAACCTCATGACTAGGACCTCCTCCACGGGCCTCAGCAGAGACAGAAGCCGACGTCCCCTGCTCGGCATCCAGAAAGTCCACAATGGGGACCCCCGACCTTGCCTGCGAAAATCAACCCCATGTCAAAAATAAACAAGGTGACATACGGGGACCCACAAAATCAAGTAAACAAACACTACCTACCTCAGCAGCTTGGGCGACCCGCTCGGTAGCCTGTGTCGCCGCCTCAGGGGCATTTCCCGCCTGCAAAAAACGACCCCAGGTCAAGCGACCAGAAAGCATAATAAAAGGATTAACGAAAAACCCAAGAAACAAGATACTCACCACCTCGGTAACTCGAGCAACTTGCTTAGCAGCCTAGTCTCCCACCTCGGCAGCGGTCGCCCCGACCTGCGAAAAGATACACTCCGCCTCAATAAACCAAACAAAGTCAGCACAAAAGACGCGCATAAAGAGATAGGACACTCACCTCGGCGGCCTGCACAGTGAGCCACCCCCATCTGCTATGCAACAGCAGAGTCCTCACTTTGCTCAGATAGAGGCAGGTATAGCTACGACTGAGGTAGCTAGACCGGTGGTCTCTCAGGATGAGAGAGATTTAGCAGAGTTCAGGAGATGTCAGACTCCTCAGTTCAAGGGGGATTCAGATCCTGATGTGGCAGATCAGTGGTTGAGTGAGATGGAGAAGATCTGTAGTGTCTTGGGGTCTTTTGAGGAGAGGAAGTAGACCTATGCAATATACATGCTGGCGGGCGAGGCTGAGTACTGGTGGAGAGGCACCGAGTAGATGTTAGAGAGCAGGGGTGTACCTGTTGATTGGGATTACTTCAAGAGGGTCTTTTTGGAGAAGTATTTCCCGGATAACGTTAGATACGCTATGGAGGTGGAGTTCATGAGACTGCAACAGAGGAACATGTCTGTTTCAGAGTATGCTATGAGATTTGAGCATCTGGCTCGTTTCATATTTATTCAATTGATTATTTTATTGGCCTAAATAAATAAAAAAATTAAATATTTTCAAGAATAAATTGTTTAAAAAATAATTTACCAAAATAAATTGTTTTGCCATGTGGACATTTACAAGCAAAATGTCAACAGGGATGACGACTTTATTTTACAAGGAAGACATTAGTACAATTGACATTTTTAGTGCAATTTTTAGGATTTAGGGTTCACTACAATTTTTTGGTTCCTGTGACATTTTGAGTGTTTTCCTACCACACCGTAGTTCTATCGTATAACACTACTTAACGACTTTATGAAGGGGTGAGTGATTTTTCTCTAAACACCAAACATGTTTTGAGTTTATTATTGCTGATGCTCTTCAAGCGTTAGCACAAGTTGTAAATACTAGTAGGGCTGGAGCTGCTACTAACTGGTTGGAGCAATTTCAGCGTAACCACCCACCTATGTTCAAATGAGGTTATGATCCCGATGCTGCTAATGCTATGGAGTGCCCTCCTGCTCAGAAGGTGAATCTGGCCACCTTCATGTTGACTGCTGATGCATACTTTTGTTGGGGAGTGCATTTGAATTGGGACAACTTCAAAAGGGTCTTCTTTGAGAAGTACTTCTTGGATGATGTGAGGAGTCAGAAGGAGGTGGAGTTCCTTGAGCTAAAGCAAGGAAATGACACAGTAGCAGAGTATGCTACCAAGTTTAACTCATTGGTTTGTTACTGCTCTCACTATCATGGTGAGGGTGGTGAACGGGCTATGCAACAGCAGAGTCCTCACTTTGCTCAGATAGAGGCAGGTATAGCTACGACTGAGGTAGCTAGACCGGTGGTCTCTCAGGATGAGAGAGATTTAGCAGAGTTCAGGAGATGTCAGACTCCTCAGTTCAAGGGGGATTCAGATCCTGATGTGGCAGATCAGTGGTTGAGTGAGATGGAGAAGATCTGTAGTGTCTTGGGGTCTTTTGAGGAGAGGAAGTAGACCTATGCAATATACATGCTGGCGGGCGAGGCTGAGTACTGGTGGAGAGGCACCGAGTAGATGTTAGAGAGCAGGGGTGTACCTGTTGATTGGGATTACTTCAAGAGGGTCTTTTTGGAGAAGTATTTCCCGGATAACGTTAGATACGCTATGGAGGTGGAGTTCATGAGACTGCAACAGAGGAACATGTCTGTTTCAGAGTATGCTATGAGATTTGAGCATCTGGCTCGTTTCTACTCTTAGGCCATATCTCAGGCTTGGAGATGTAGGAAGTTTGAAGAGAGGTTGAGGCATGAGCTGAAAAGGGTCATAGTCCTTATGTCTATAGTGGAGTTTCCTTCCTTGGTTGAGAAGGCAAAGACTGTTGAGAGACTAGAGGGTGGTGGTAGTAGCGGCAAGGCTGTCCATTATCTAATCACTGATTACTGAAGATCTCGCCCCAGATGAGATCCGCTATCATATTTTATCACAGGCCCAGAGCCCAAAGCAACCCTAATTCACTCCAAGGTACGTGCATTACTTATACGAGACTATTACTGGTACAAACCCTAACTTTAGCATCGGAGTCTCTTTTGCAGGTACCACCCCCATCTTGGAGCATCAGTGTACTAGTGAAGGAGACTCACCAATCTTACTTGGAAGATCGTCCCTACGACAAATTCCGGTAAGAACATAATATATAAAAAAATCTAGTTTATTTATGTATTTTTAATCCTAAAACTACTTATAAAGAAATTTATTTAAATAAATTTTATGTACTACAAATATAAAATAATTTTGACAAATTCATACACTTTTACAATAATTATCTAATAAATCATATAAATAATAATTTTTAATCAGTTAATATAAACTCTATATATTAAACATAAACGTATTTTTTGTGTGAAAATATTTTTTAAAATTTTTATTCAATGGGAGAATTTTAATTTTTTAATTTATTATATAATTCAATTTTTGTTTATCATAATAATTTATGATTTAAAATTTAATATTTTAAAAATAAATTATTAATAAATAAAAATACTGTATTACAATATAAATTATTTATTATAAATCTAAATTATTCCACAGATGTTATAATTTATATATTTTAATATAATATTTATTTGTATATATATTTTATTATAAATTTTATTTATATAATAAATATTTAATATATTAGTGTAATTTTTTTTATAACATCTAAAATACTAGTATAATATTTTCTTGATAAAGATAAAAAAAATTATAAAGATGATCGCAATACAATTTGAATTTGGATCCCTATGTTTCTAACTAACTTAACTCCCTCCCGACTAATTTTAGTGGTCAAATTCTAGTATAATATAATTACTAAACTTTTAGTCCAAAAAAGAAATGGTTAATAACTTTTTGTTTTTTGGATATTTATATTAAATATTTGAAAAAAAATCTCGGTGTATATATATATTTTTGATTTGTAAATCTTGCTGTATATAATAATCTTACAGAAAATTACTTTTGTGTCTGTAATACCCTTATCCAAAGGTTTCAAACCAAAAAGAAAAATAAAAAAAAATATAAAAGTGTCTTAAATTGATAAGATAATATGAATGTTTTTCTGTAAAAAAAGGGGAAGAGAATGGAGAGAGTAATGGCATTGGACGGTGGTGGCCCGAAGAAGGGAAGAAACTAGAAAGAGAAAGAAAGCAGTAACGAAAAAGCAAAGCATTGGATTGGCATCGCCATAATAACTATTGCTATTACTATTACTATTACCATTACCATTACCATTACCATCGCCATTGCTATTGCTGCGTCACGTTCACGTTCACGTTCCTCTCTCCAAATCTCAATCCCTCACCACATTCCCCTTTCATCATCTCCAAATCCACTTTCCCCCTACTCTCGAATTTCGCCTCAATCGATCAACTAGGTTTTCATCCTTGCCCTGGGACTGATCCCAGATCCGCAATGGATAGGGCTCCACTGATCCCTCTTCCTTTATGAGTTCCGATGAGTTTCTCCTCCTCGAATCGGATCCTCGCCCCGTGATTCACCACCGCCGCGGCAAATCAGCTTCCCGCTCCTTCGCCTCCATCTCCGCCGCCGATGTTGCCGCCGCCGCCGCTGAGGCCATCATCCTCGACGCCGATGTGAAAGACGGCAGCGACGTCCTCCTCTCCGACGACTACAGCTTCCACTCCGCCTTCGCCGATCCCAAGTTCCCCTGGGAATGCCCCACGCGCCACCGCTCGGTCTCGTGGGGCGCCATGGAGCTGCGTGACGCCGCGCCCTTCGAGATTTCCGGAGCCAACACCGCCGCAACCACCGCCAACAAATCCGCTAGGGTTAGACACAAGAGCGTGCAATTCGACGACGTCGCGTTACACGAGGACAGCGCCAGGTTGATCTACATCAACGACCCCAAACGCACCAACGACAAGTACGAGTTCACCGGGAACGAGATCCGCACCAGCAGATACACGTTTGTTACGTTCCTCCCTAAGAATCTGTTCATTCAGTTCCACCGTGTCGCGTATTTGTATTTCCTCGCCATTGCAGCTCTGAACCAGCTTCCTCCGCTGGCCGTGTTCGGGAGGACCGTGTCGCTCTTCCCTCTCTTGTTCGTGCTCTGCGTTACCGCCATTAAGGATGGCTACGAGGACTGGCGCCGGCACCGCTCCGATCGCAACGAGAACAACCGCGAGTCGCTTGTTCTTCAGTCCGGCGACTTCCGGTCGAAGAAGTGGAAGAGGATTCAGGCCGGCGAGGTCGTGAAGATCTTCTCCGACGAGACGATTCCGGCGGATATGGTTCTGCTTGGGACGAGTGATCAGAGTGGTCTTGCTTATATTCAGACCTTGAATTTGGATGGAGAGTCCAATTTGAAGACTAGGTATGCTCGCCAGGAGACGGCGTCGGCGGTGTCCTCGGAGGCTTGTGATGTTTTCGGTGTGATTCGATGCGAGCAGCCCAATAGGAATATTTATGAGTTCACTGCCAATATGGAGTTCAATGGGATTAAGTTTTCGCTTAGTCAGTCTAACATTGTTTTGCGTGGTTGCCAATTGAAGAACACGGATTGGATAATCGGTGTTGTGGTTTATGCAGGGCAGGAAACTAAGGCAATGCTGAACAGTGCAGCTTCTTCTTCCAAGAGAAGCAAACTGGAAGGTTATATGAACCGGGAAACCCTTTGGTTGTCGATTTTCCTTTTTATCATGTGTTTGGTTGTGGCCATTGGGATGTGTCTTTGGCTGGTGCGCCACAATAATCAGCTTGATACATTGCCTTATTATAGAAAAAGATACTTCAGCAATGGGCCGGATAATAGAAAGAAGTATAAGTATTATGGGATACCGATGGAGGCGTTTTTCTCCTTTTTGAGTTCTGTTATAGTGTTTCAGATAATGATACCGATATCTCTTTACATCACCATGGAGTTGGTTCGATTGGGTCAGTCATACTTCATGATTGAAGACAAGGATATGTTTGATGCCAGCTCTGGGTCAAGGTTTCAGTGTAGATCGTTAAATATAAACGAAGACTTGGGCCAAATACGGTATGTGTTTTCAGACAAGACAGGAACACTAACAGAAAACAAAATGGAATTCCGGAGGGCTAGTGTACATGGGAAGAATTACGGGAGCTCCTTGCCTATGGTTGAGAATACAGGTATGCGGTCTCCTCTTGAGATTATCTAATTTTTGACTGCTTAACGATCTGGTACGGTGCCATTATTTCTTGTCTCGCCATTGCAGTTTGAAATCCTTGTTACTGAAAGGCTAATTATTATTTATGGTTGAGATTAAGAGAAAATGTTGATTTCTTGTGCAAGTCTGAGAAATGAATTCATTAGTTATGCTTTTTGATTGCCTTGATTTATGATAATGGTTGTTCTGCTGGACAGTTTGATGCTAATTGATTGGTGCCAGTATAACGTGCTTTTTGGTTGTTATTTTTATTCAATTACTTACAATTGATCCTGGGATAGTCCTTACTTATTCAATTGCTTATCTCTGAGTTAGCTGGTATTTTTCTTTCTATTGTTCAATTTCTTCTTGCCAGATGGATTATTAGATGAAATGGCCAGGATCTCCAATTATTATTTTTTTATTACAAACATACGATTCAGTTATAAATTTTGATCTATAAGGTAGAAGGTGTCATCTGTGTGAGTACTGATCAGAAACCATTTGACAAATTTGCTGGTGCTTATATATCACAAGACTTCTTTTTTTAATGATTGCAGCAGCAACAGATGTTACTCCTAAACGGAGATGGAAGCTCAAATCTGAAATTGCGGTTGATTCTGAACTGATGACAATGTTACAGAAAGACTCGCGTAGAGCAGAAAGAATTGCTGCTCATGAGTTTTTTCTTACATTGGCTGCTTGTAACACTGTTATTCCTATACTTGGTGATGGTGGATTTACCAGTTGTGGAACTATTGAACTAAATGAAGATATTAGACGCATTGATTACCAGGGAGAATCTCCTGATGAACAAGCTCTAGTTTCTGCAGCCTCTGCATATGGATATACTCTTTTTGAGCGAACATCTGGGCATATTGTTATAGACGTCAATGGTGAGAAACTCAGGTAGATAGTGACTTCCTTTTGGTGGGGGACCTACTTGCTTTACTATGTTTTAACAATGTTTCACATATATAATTAATAAAACTTTTATGTGCTTGAATATTCTATTTCTATCTGGGCATATTTTATTCAGTAACTTCATTATCTCTGTCATGTATAGATTGGATGTATTGGGCCTGCATGAGTTTGATAGTGTGCGGAAGAGAATGTCTGTTGTTATTCGGTTTCCGGACAATGTGGTAAAGGTGTTAGTCAAAGGCGCTGATACTTCAATGTTTAGCATTTTGGAAAATGGAAGTGAGACTAACAATAACATATGGCATGCAACTCAGAGCCATTTGAATGAATATTCTTCACAAGGTTTGCGCACTCTTGTAATTGCCTCCAGGGATCTTTCTGATGCTGAACTTGAGGAGTGGCAAAGCAGGTATGAAGAGGCAAGTACTTCATTGACTGACAGATCTACCAAACTGCGTCAAACAGCAGCTCTTATAGAATGCGATTTAAAGTTACTTGGAGCAACTGGAATTGAGGACAAGCTACAAGAGGGTGTACCAGAAGCCATTGAGGCTCTACGGCAAGCTGGAATCAAGGTCTGGGTTCTCACCGGTGATAAGCAAGAGACAGCAATTTCAATTGGTCTTTCCTGCAAACTTCTTAGTGGAGACATGCAGCAGATTATTATAAATGGCACTTCAGAGGGGGAATGTAGAAATCTTTTGGCCGATGCTAAAGCCAAATATGGTGTGAAATCTTCAAGTGGAGGGCGTTGGAATCTGAAGCACAAAACCGAAGATGAACATGATGATCTTGATATTCTCAACGGTTCAAAGTCATTGAGCTTTCCCAAATGGAATCTTGGAAAGGAAGAAGGAACTAATGCTCCATTGGCACTCATAATTGATGGAAACAGTTTGGTTTATATTTTGGAGAAGGAACTGGAGTCAGAGGTAAAACATGCCTTTTCTCTTGGTGTTGTTGTAGTAATATACCACTGCTTTAAATTTTGAGTTGTTAAATAAAATAAAACTTTAGCGTAAATATTTACTGATTTCCTTTTTCCTTTCAGCAGCTTTTCGACCTTGCAACTTCATGTAGGGTTGTGCTGTGTTGTCGTGTTGCTCCCTTGCAAAAGGCAGGAATTGTTGATCTGATAAAGAAGCGCACAGACGATATGACACTGGCCATAGGTGATGGTAAGTTCTTTATAGTGATATGAACTTGCACTTAATTTGCATTTGGATTTCTTGGGGCCTGGTTGATGGTAATTTGCGTACAAGGTTGAGGTCATCAGGCTTCAGCTAGTGTTTCCAGATGGATTTTGATATAAAATTTGGTTTGAAATGAACTTAATCTTGTTTATTTTGATTAATTTTTACAGGGGCCAATGATGTTGCAATGATCCAAAGGGCAGATGTTGGTGTAGGAATATGTGGACAGGAAGGGCGCCAAGCAGTGATGGCATCAGATTTTGCTATGGGACAGTTTCAGTTCATAAAAAAATTACTTCTGGTTCATGGGCACTGGAATTATCAGCGAGTCGGATATTTAGTTCTGTACAACTTCTACCGCAATGCTGTCTTTGTATTGATGTTATTTTGGTATGTATGTTTGTCTTTGGATATCACAGTTGAGTTACTTGTGATTATGAGTTGGCCTCTATTTCGTGGTTTCTTTTGCTAGCCCTGATCTTTCAGGCATTTGAACTAAAGCTTAATTATAAACACATGATTTTCATTAGAGAAGTGCTACTCTCTGACACATTGTTTTTAAAACACTCCTATTTATTGGAAATCACAAAATTTTCTGGGATGCACATCCTATTTAATGAACACTTCTCATGATTTTGTAGTTTTCAATAAATTTTAATCAATAGGAGACTGTGTTGCTAGCACTTCTCGTATTGTGATTTCTGCCTATGATAGTAATTGGCTGTTTGCAGATAATTGACAAAAGGATTTTTCCATATTTAGATGTCAAGTGTCAACTTTTTATTTATTTATTTATTTATATATATATATATATTTTATTATTTATTATTTTTATTTTTTATATACAATTCCATCTTATTATATTCTGGTACTACATGTCTGGAAATAGTATATTTCTCCCCTCTTTTAGCTATCTTTATTGATGTGTAAAACTGGGGGAGGGGGGGTGTATCATAAATTCTGGGTTCAAAGATAGAAGTTACTTGATTTTAATAATATACTTGCAGGTTTGATGAGAATTTAAACATTCTGATGTATATTGTCTTTCTTTTCTTTAGGTATATATTATGCACAGCTTTTTCTACAACTTCTGCGTTGACAGATTGGAGTAGTGTTTTCTATTCTGTGATATACACATCAATACCTACTATTATTGTTGGTATTCAGGACAAGGACTTGAGTCATAAGACACTCTTGCAGTATCCAAAACTGTATGGTTCAGGTTACAGGCACGAAGCTTACAATATGCAATTATTTTGGATCACAATGATTGACACAGTATGGCAGAGCCTTGTTCTCTTCTACATTCCATTGTTCACTTATAAGGACAGTTCAATTGATATATGGAGCATGGGCAGTTTGTGGACGATTGCAGTTGTTATCCTTGTAAATGTACACCTGGCTATGGACATCAACCGTTGGGTATTAATTACTCATGTTGCTATCTGGGGATCAATAATCATTACATATGGATGCATGGTGGTATTGGATTCCATACCTGTCTTTCCCAATTACTGGTTAGTTATATGTGTCCTTCAACAAGTATTTTGTATTATAATATAGATAAAGCTGTACTGCAGTAGGGTATAATATATGGCTAACCTGTCTCTCAAAATCATTGTAGGACTATTTATCACCTGGCAAGGTCCCCTACATATTGGATAACAATTTTGCTTATAATTATTGTGGCATTGCTCCCTCGCTTTACTTGCAAAGTTGTTTATCAAATCTTTTGGCCTTCAGATATCCAGATAGCTAGAGAATCTGAGTTAATGAGAAAACGACAGAATAATTTGCAGCCGAGGCAACAAGTTTCCAGTTAACTTGTGTTACTGTCCTGTGTCTTATAGAAACTACAGAAATTACAATTGAAATGGCTTCCCTTGTATTTGTCCATCACAATGCATTCTTGCGGCAGTCGGTTGTATAATTGATCAGGTAAGGGCATGTTTTCTCTCTTCTATTATTATTATTATTATCATCATCATCATCATCATCATAATGATGATTTTTTTCTTCATTTTTCTGGTATTATTTTCCTGTACACTAGTTTCCTTGGGCTTAGTAGCTAGCCAAGAATAACTATATTTTAGATTGTAAATTGTCCAACACCTGTTCATATTAGTCCAGTCTTCTGTGGGTATACAACATCCCTTTCTCATTAAAGTGGAAATTTTGAACCAGAGGTAGATCCAGAAAACGTCTGTGGGGTAGAATGCTTAGACATGCATAATTGCGTTGAGGTAAAAGTCACATAGAAGTCAAAATAGTGGAGTTGAAGGCTTAAGAATGCATATATTTTACAATGAAAAAAAATAAATTGAGGAGACCCCTCCTTCCACCAGGATCATATTCTGTTCATGCCCTGAACATAAATCTGCTAATGGAGATACATTAAATAATTTATTTGAGCAGAAAACTGTTTACTGTTGTAGAGATAATATATAACCATTAGAGCATTAGGTTGATACTCAGTTGAATAATGAAGTATTACTTGAGCTCTTCTGCCCTCAAGCCCCGCATTTTTTTTTTTAGGTGGTGCGGACACTGGGCTTACACTAATTGTATGTGGAATGGAAAGGGGTAAGCAGTTGGATAATGGCAGTGGTTGGTTAACAGATAGGAAAATGGAGAGAGAATAAGAGTTTATTTAAATTTGGGTTTCTTCAAGAAACTAATTGGTTTTTTGACTTTTTCTTAGAAACTAATTCATTTTATTTCAGTTTGTGCGTCTTTTTTAGAATGATGAACATATACTTGAAATAGACAAGGTCTTCATAAATGTGAAGATGGAAAATTGTTGTTAAAAATGCTCTTGTTGAATGTTGCAAATCAACATTACTCTTCCAATTGCTACAATGTGTACACTAGGCAACAGATAGATGAAACAATATTTAAAATTGGCTGGGCTTGTAGTTCTGTTTATGTATATGGTTAGAAATTTTAGTGTTGAATAATTGATGTCTTCCTCCAAACGCTTTTTTGAATTTAGTAAGTTGTCAAATAACATGGTCTGAAGGTGGATTAAATGTCGTTTGATATCCTGAAACAAGGATCTTTCAATCCTACTGGATTGTTGGATAAAGTTTGCCAACAGTCTGGCTTTAGTTCTGTTGGCCATTTGTCTATAGGAATCTGTCTCCGTTGGCTTATTATAGTTTGTATAATTATTGAGCTTTGTTGGGAAAACCTCCAGCCCCACACCGACTAGAGATGGTGCCAAAGTACTGTATAAGTTGGAGGCAATCTTTATCCTATGAGCTAGCTATTTGAGTTGAGTTAGGTTGATATCCAAATTCTAAGAAGTTCCATTTGGGGGATTTTGTTGTATCATGGATGCCGTGTATTGTAAACATGTTTAGCAAAGTTCAGATTCAAAGAAACATGTTAGTGTGCGAAATTTCCATCTCATGCAAGCTTTTTGTGGTCATACAAGTGTATGGGTCATTATTTGTTTTGTGCTAACACTTCCTACATGATTAAGAAAAAATGACTTGCGTGTTCAAGTTTGTTGTGCCTGGTTCTGATTTTTGTGGTCTAAATTTTCCAGACGAGATGCTGTAGCAGATTGCAGTGGTGTAAGACAAATGCTTGGCATCCAACACACTAACAGATTATGTCGCAGGGAAGCACATGCCAAGGTTAGCAAACAGCTTGCCTGGCTTTTCAAATGCCTCACGTCAGGTCAGGAACGTAAATAGGAGATTGAGGTTGGAGGTGGCTCAGACTCGGGTATCTGTATCTCAGCAAATTTGATGTGGGTGGAATTTTATCAGTGGCAACTTGATAATAATTACCCACGGTTTATAGAGAAGTGTGTGAGAGAGTAGAGTGTAACTAGTGTACTATAGTTCTGTAAAATCAGGCTTGAAAAACGTCCTTTAAAAGGAGAGTGTCTCGAGAAAGGACAATGATAGGAAAGAAAAAGTATTTTTCACAATCCCTGCACCTCTCGCCTCTTCTCAATAACTAAATTAATTGCATTTATTAGCATGTTTGATCCCACGGCGGGGATGTGGATTTTCAAAATCAAAAGCAAATAGATATAGATTTGGCGTGGTTTTCTCTCTTCCGAATTGGTTTCCAAACATGCTGTTTGTTCTTCTCTTACGATTGTGTGATTTTGGTCTTCTGATAATTTGAATTTAGCTTGTTTCTTTTAATTGCTATAATGAAGGATGCATTTTATTGAGGGTCCGAAGATGCATCTTTTGTTTATATTAAATAAAATGCATTTTTGTTGCAATTAAGAAATAATTTTATTGTCTTTTAAGTAATTAATAAATAAAAAATTCATTTTAACATTGAATAGTGTGCGTGTTGATATATATAGTTTTGAATTTTGAACTATTATTTGAGGATCATAGTTAATTTTTTTTTAGGTTAATAAATATTTTTTTGGTTTTTTTTAATCTTAATATATAAAAATAGTTTTGGTCATTATTTTGTATATTATTGTTTAACTTCCAATTTAAGTTTAATTGTCTTTTTGAAACATTTGGATCATTTTCGATTCTGGGCATAATTTTAGACTTTTTTTCATTAGTTTAAAATGTAAAATTTGTCGTTCTAGATTTATTTACATAAAAATTATAAAATTAATGTCCGAATATTTCACAAGCAATAAAAAGTTGATCTTAGTATTTTTTCAATTTTCGAGTTTGTGGTATTTATTTTTATGTAATTTTCATCATATTTATCTTTTTTTTTCTTCAACTGTTTTGGATCATAATTTATAAATTTTATGGCTTGAATTACCAAAAAAAAATGGTTGTAATTGTTATTTTGGAAGGATAATATTTAGAGGAATGTTAACGTTCTTTTTAACGCCTATCTAGCACTCAAATTAAAAGATTAAAAATAAACCTCTTAAAAAATAAAAGACAAGATTTTCGCACCAAGATAAAATAAAAGACAAAAATTATGTTTTTAATGGACGAGGTATGCGTGTGTGGAACGGTGGAAGTTCAGGCCTTATGAAATGATTGAGAGTTGTTGGAAGTTGAAATGCGTGGTCCTCGGAAGTGAACAGCAAACCGCGTGCATTTTTAAATAACACTAAAATCTATAAAAAAGACAATTGCATTTTTATATTTATATTTAATTTTTTATTAATATATTTTTTTTAAAATAAAATAATACATATAAAAAATAATAGCTACTTTTTTTTTATAAAAAAAATAGCAACTTACAACTCATTAAAAAAGTATTTAATTTTTTTTTATGAAAACACGAAATATCTTTTTATTACTAGTAACAGAAATGATATATTGAAATATAATAGATGCTAATAAAAATACACTTCTAACACCAAAAATTGAACTAGAGGCAATATCTACATAAATGTATCAAACTAGTTCTTTATTCTCTTATTAGTTCATTTTTATAGACTAAATCTTAGGCAAATTTGAAGGATAATTTGATTAATTGATATAATTCTTTTAAAATATCATAATTATGATGTTACTTCAATCTTTCGAGGAGTGAAATATCATTATGATTAACATTGTTTTACACGTTTCATTCCCCAATAATGTATAATTTTTAAATGAGGTAAAATTATTAATAAGAGTGCATGCATGGATATAAATTCACTTACTTTTTATACCCTAGGATCTAGTTGAGCTAAACTAATATTTCATCCCTTGCTTTTATTTTCTTGAATGCATCGTTTTGACTTTTGAATTCTAGAATGGTACCTTGATTTTATTATAAAAAAATTGTATGTTAACTGAATATAGATGGCTTGATCTGTCCTTAATTAAGAGACAAGATTGAATCTTACATGAAAGAAGTCTTCTCACAATTAGTTTGTTCACACTTGTCTTTTCTCACATTCATACTATAACCTTCACCAATCTATTTTTTGTTTGTTTGGAACTTTAGATCGTTTAGAGATCAATCTCAAATTCTTTTTCATACTTTCTGGATTACTTGTTCTCAAATTTTAAATGACTTTTAATCAAAGATGAATTACGATAAATTGTTACATTACACAAGAAACTTTTCTCTATTAAATATTTCATTAGAACAACAAACTTGCAAACAAAATTAAATATATTATTATGAATTTATAATCAAGTCATACAAGTAAAATTGTATTATCAATTCTTAGAATAGTGGATTTAAGCCTAACTCAACCTACAAAACCGGCTTATAAGGTGAGGGTTGCTTTCCACTTATATATTTATTAATTGCCTAATCTCTAGTCGATATGAGACTTGAGTTTTTCTCAATACACCCCCAACACTGTTGGACTTGGTACATGGATAAATGGTAGGTAATCCTTTTTTAATGATCGAGGATTGACAGGACTTGAATACACCCCCTCATGCCTATGGTGCATGTATCGATAAATGGTAGGTGACCCATTTTTAAGAATCTAGGATAGATCTGATATCATTTTAGAATAGTGAATTTAAGTCTAACTTAACCCTACAAAATTGACTTATAAGGTGAGAGTTATTTTCTACTTATATACAATTTAATTGCTTAATCGATGTGAGACTTAAATTTTTCTTAATAAACTGAAACTTGTATATTTCATGCGAGTTCTTTATGTAAATAAAGCACGTGATTACATTAATGGAATTTCCTAGTTGTTACCAATGATAACCATGTGCGAGGCCATGAATGGTGGACTGAATCTAAACTGGGAATGAAATAGAAAAGCTTCTTACACTCATCAACATGTCACATAAATATAGCATACATAAGAGTGCAGCCAATATCATATTTAATTATATATTTATATATCAAATCCCTTATCACGTAGACATTTTGTAATCTTACTAAATATTTTTCAAAATGCTGACAATTAATTTTAATTTTATATGAAATTGTATTTTATTCTCTAGTTTAAACTTATTGGTATCAAAAAAAAAATCCCTTATTATGTTTTTAAGAAATATAATTACCTACCAATTATACTACGTTAATATTTTAAATTTTAATTTTATTTCATTATGTTTATTTTATTTTATTTGGCGAAAATCATAAGTATATTTTATGCAAGGTAGTCTTACTTGAGCCGATAGAATTATTGAGTAAATTTTCTTTCAAGTATTTAAGTAATTAAATAGTCATTATTTAAATTTGATATCATAAATTAAAGAGAAGTGGTTATATAAGTCCAATAAAATTATACAACTTGTGCGATGTTACTTTAATACTTTCAGTTTCTATGTATTATATCATATTACGTTTATTTATTTATTTATTTATTTTTTTATAAAAATAGGAAAGCTTATAAAGATAGTCGTAATGAAGATTGAATCTAGATTCTTATATTTCTAACTACCTCAACCACTAACCCTAATAGTTATATTAGGTTTACTTTTTTTTTTGTAAAGATAGAAAAAATTACAAAAATGATGACAATAAAGATTAAATCTAAATTCTCATACTTCTAATTATCTAACCCTTTCCCACCTAGTCACTATGCTAACCCTAGTGTCATGTTACGTTTACTTTTAATACACTATTATATTAAATAGATTTTTTTAATATTTTTTTTTTTTATCGTCGTATATTGTTATCTTAATAAATGTCACGTGCGATGCACACTATTGTGATCCTTATCCAATCTTACACTCTGCACTATTGATTTTTTGAACTACCCCTTCCTCGTCCGTACCCGTAATGTTGCCATCTCAAATAAAATTCTCAGGAAGGGCAAACCCGTCTTTTCAACCACCCAAGCCAATCAAATACTGCCACCTGTCACCATGACATATACAACAACGCAAGCCGAACGACGTCATCCACGCTCTGGCAGTATTCACCCCACGCGCATCCATCCCTCTTGCGCTCCACACGCAAACTCCTGCACACGTGGCAGATTTCCATTCGTCGTGCGGTCCACGAACGAACGTAGCGCGTGGGGACCCAATTTCGTGTTGAGAGGGGTTGGAATTTTCTGCCAAGGTTCCTCTGAACTTCGAAGCATGTGCATATTGCAACAACTTGGAGCCACTTTTGTAATTTTCCACATAATAATATAAGGCCTCACCCATGGATAATATATATAGTTGAGTTGAGTGGGTGCGTGAGTGATACAAGCCTTGTGAGTTGTAGCCACAAACAAACATTTGTGGGGGGATCAAAGGTTTCCTAGATTAGAACATGGACAACAATAATCTTGGGTACAGTCGTAGGAAGGCAATTGAGGAACTTGTGAGAGGGCATGATCATGCCAAACAACTTAGGAGTGTCATCAATGGGAGTTGTAGTGATGATAGGTCAGCCACCCCATTTGCTGAAAAACTTGTGAAGGAGGTTCTCATGTCCTTCACCAACTCCCTCTTGTTCTTGAACAACACCACCACTTCTGAACCCCATGATGCCTCTGATGTCCAAGTTTGGGACTCTCCCAAATCTGAGGACTCTCAAGAGAGTAATTGCAAGACTTCCACCGTTAAGGAAAGAAGAGGATGCTACAAGAGAAGGTAATTCATTTGTTGGTTATGTACAGATTTAGTTTCTTCTTCTTCTTGAAGGATATTAGTATTGGATTTGAATTTCTTATGCAAAGTCTCAAATTTGAATTTTGAGGAAGGGAAGAGAAATCTTATAAGCTAGTTAATCAGAATTATAAGACTGATTTTTAATATGATTACATGATTATAAAAAGATAACAAATTTGGGCACCCCTTTTGTTATTCTTTGCCTAATTCTCAATGCATCTGATTATAACGTGATGTGTGTACTTTTAACATACATGATGATGTTAAATGGTAACATTGGTAAGTGCTGTGTGCTCATCAATTGGGTGCCTTTTTACTTTGTTGTTATTGCCTTTACATATGCGTACAATTGGACCCCATCAATTATTGTTCATATATACATGTGGTGAAGTACTATTTAGGCGTGTCTATTATTTGTTGGTTTGTTTGTCGTGACTTGTGTCTGGCACTGTAAAGGTGATTGGTTTTGATTTGTGGGAAGAGTTAGAAAGTTTATCTGAATATGCAATATTCATGTTTGCAGAAGAACTGAGCAAACATGGGAGAAGGAGTCTGAAGCTCCAATCGATGATGGCTACCAATGGAGAAAGTATGGCCAAAAAGAGATCCTCAATGCCAAATTCCCAAGGTATACATATATATATGATCATATATGAATATATCATGTGTCTTCTGATACTAAAGTTTATCCCATGAGAAAATACTATAAACTTATGCATTTTGAACTTGTTTGAATAAACTTTATCCTGAGCGGATTATCAATGGTTTAAGAATTTTTTCAGTCCAATATCCTTAATCTACATATTAAGACATTCCTGTCGTAACCCGAAAGATTTGTATAAGAATAATATGTGGATAAGTCATTTAAGATAGTACTCTTATACGCCTCAAAAAGTTAATATTCATGCTTTGCTATTCATAGACAACATATATAATGTGTCTTTTGATATAAAAATTTGTTTCATGAGAAAATAATGTAAACTTATACATCTTGAACTTGTTTGAATAAACTTCTGAAAAAAAACACTTACAGAAGAAAATAAAATTATATATATTAAAATCAGCTTATGTATAATCTAAATATAAAATTTTGAAAAAATTAATAAGAAAACTTCTATAATTTAGTTTATATGAGTTAATTTTAATTTATAAATAAGCTAATTTAATTTTTTTATGCTATTTCCTTCTCATTATCAGATAAGTTTATCCAATCAGATCATTAGTTAACTTATTGAAAAGCTCATTTAAATTTATGTATTTGTGAATTTTCAGGAACTACTTCAGGTGCACTCACAAATTTGATCAAGGTTGCCAAGCAACAAAACAAGTGCAAAAGGTTCAAGAGGATCCAATCCTTTTCAAGACCACATACTATGGCATCCACACTTGCAAGAACTTGTCAAACCCTGAGATCATACTTGACCCTATGTCCCCATCTACCTCTTCCAAGTTCCTTAGCTTTGACAACTCCTTCCCAACTCCATCAAACCAAGAGTGCCCCTTTTTCTCATCCTCTTTCCCATCATCAGTGGTGAAAAGGGAGTGCAAGGAGGAGGTCCCTCCTTCAACTTCCTCCAATGATTACCTCATCTCTTCTGAGCTCACTTTTGATAGCTCACCAAGGCATCATGTCACTCTTTCATCAACACTTGACTCAGAGTACAAGAGTGAGGACCTGGATGTCTTGTATGATCATGCTCACCTTGATGATGTCTTGAACCCTTCCTTGAATTTTGATAACTTCTCATGTTTTGATGTGTGACCCTTTTTTTTTTGTTAATTTTAATTTTACTTTAGTGGAGGCAGTGCTACCCAAGTTGTGCAATATATAATCTGTTTTCTTAGATAAATATTGTAGCTATATATAGCTTGGCTTCCATCACTGTAATATCCGTCCTTTTCTTGTCCATGTTAGCATTTTCAATGAATGAGAATTAATAATAATGTTGAGTAATTATAAATATACACTTGTTTTATTTTATTTTATTTTCTTTTTTTATCTATTAAGGCAGTCTAACTCAATAATTTGTTGAGCAGGCGAGTATGTCAGTTGTGAACTTTTTTGACACTAAGTTCAATTTTCACATTAAAAAAAAAAAGAATTTTTTCTATCTTCTGTCTCATTTGAAATTAGATATCTTAGATCCTTCCAGAAAAAAATAAACACAAAAGAAGAGAAGAAAACACAAAAGAAAAAGAGAAGAAAACAAAAAATAGAAAAAGATAACGAGGAATGAACAATAAAGAGAAAAATTAGGGTTTCCACCTCCTATTTTTATTACATTTTCTTTTATCAAATTTTTCTTTCTCTATCATTCTTCTTCTTATTATATCTCGTCCTTTCTATCATATCCAAATGCACCCAAAATGGGGATATAGGTTGATATTTCCTAATGGTTTCAAGGTGATTTTGCATCAAAGAAAAAGTTAATATGCCTCTTTCATAGAAAAGAAACATGCACAAAAGGTGTGTGGTACCTCTACGCAATGAATAAATGGTTGGGGTGACTTGGAAAGGTTAAGGGTAGGTTCAGTGCATGAAATGAAGGGGGGCCTAGGTAGCCAAAAACTGTTGAGTTGTCTCTTTGATTATTACTGTTATGTTTTTGGGTTGGGGAATGTCATATATATCCAACAAAAAAGGGGGTGGAAATGTCATGTTTATGAATGTTTGATACTGTTGTTGTGTTTGATATCCAATTTATAGGGGGCAAATATCACTGGCCACACACCATCACCTTTACTTTATTAAGCACGCTTATCATCAGGATTCACTTTGTTGTACAAAATATAACAAGAATAATACATCATGTATTATTGTTGTTATTACTCCATGCATATTCAGGGAGATTCTTGATAAATAATATGATTAATTCAAATTATCCTCACTGAAAGGAGACTTCCACTCCACATGCTCTTTTTTTTTTTTCCTTTTTTTTTGTTAATGACTGCATATTGCTTATCACTTAAAAAAAAAAATCAAATGAAACGAAAAGATCCATTTATGTGTAGTTAATGTGTGTGTCTAATCTATACAAGGGTCATACATCGCTGATATTTTTGTGTCAGGTCTTCTTCTCAAGGATTTTAGGTAAAGTTCATATTGCTTAGATGATTATCATATAACTAATGTATGTCTGAATATTATATGATTAAGAGTGATTCACTGATCCTTATAATTATAAAACATCAATTCCACCTATTCTTCATTAGTGTAGTCGCTGTTTTTATCATTATTAATTATGAGTTCATGACACATCCTATAAGTTAATTTATTCCAAATTAAATATTTGCATAATTTGTGTTAATGAATTAAAAGTTTATAAATTATAACGAGAATCTAATATTAATAATGATAACAATTTCTATTTACTCTTTAATTTAAGAGGAGGTAAAAATCAAATATAGGATTTCAAGTTGCTGATTGCATAAAATAATTGTAACCATTGATTAATTAATACTGATACGCATATATGTTCGAAATAACTACAAGGGGAAATAGTTTTTAGAGATCGATGATAAAGTATATGGTTGGATTTTATTATATTTATGGAAAATACTTTGTTGATATATACTTCTACGCATTATGAGTATGTCTATTTAGTGAAAAGTTTTATATTCAATTTTTATCGTGTACAAGAATTTTCTAACAAATAATTATTACAGCATAATATTAAATTATGAGTTAGTAATTTGTACCCAAACTACAAAATAAATCTTAATTGTTTCAAATTTTTTTTGGAATAAAATATTTATAGAATTTTCATGAATAAGATCAAACGTTATAATGTGATATTTACAAGATATTAATCTAATATTAATCTCTCTCATTCTTAAGCAAGTCCTTGAGAGGACATCATTGGTTCATGATTTATATTTTGTTTCTAGTGTATTTTCTATTTGTTTTGAGAGATATATTCATCAATTTTAATTTTTTTCAATCGAGATATATGGATCCATAAGTTTATATATGTATCTATATAGATTTTGTTCATGGATCGATGAAAATTTGCAGAAGTTCTATTGGCCTAGTGGGATGAGATACCCGTAGTAGGGAAAAAAAAAAAACTAGATTTGTAGATGATGTATGTGTATATACATGCATTAGAAATTACTCCTTCTACTTTTTATTATAAAAAACATTTTTTAAATAAATAAATTTTAATTATTTTTATCTTATTTAATGATACTCTTCTTAAAATATCTCTTGTTTAATATATGATATGTCAATTTATTACTTTTTTTTTTTAAATTTATCACAAAAAAATTTAAAAAGAATGTTATAGAATTAGTGAAATTTAATGTAGATAACTATTTTTTTTAACCACTAGGGTTAGTCTAGTGGTTGGGGGGAGCGGTTGGGGTAGTTAGAAACATGGGGACAAATCCTCATTGTGACTATCTTTGCAATCTTTCCTATCTTTACAAAAAAAAAAAGATAACTAATTTTTTTAATATACATAAATTTGGTTTTTTTTATATAATAAAGAACAGAAATATTCTTTAGTTATTAATATGAAATTGTATTTATGTATATGCACATATTAAAACATTAATTTCTTTGACAGAGCCCACATGAAGGTTAAGGAAAAATTTATTTTCAAATTTTGATTTTATATAATTTTTGTTTTCTTGTTAACTACAAAATTCATTATTTACTAAAACTTTATAATTAAACATTTATAAATTTCATTTTTAATATAAATATAAAATAACAAATTCCTTCGATCTTTTCTTTTACATAAGTAATTTTAATTTTTAAAAAACCTTTTTATCAATAAAAATATTTACAAGTATCATCAATATCATTTTAGAAGTAATCTAAAAAATAGTATAATTTAATACTTTCAGTGGAGTGTGAATTTCTTGTATGTTCTTATTATAGTGTCTTTATTTAAAAAAAAATCAAGACTATAAATAATATGTTATACTATCTTTCAGTTTTTAGAATTCACATAAAAAAATTAAATGTGCATGATTTTATATTTCAAAAATATTTCACAATGACATTCATTAAAGATGTAAACTAATTTAATTAATATGTATGCAAAATATGTGTGATCTTATTATCAACATTTTTACCAAAAATATCATTTTTTATGTATCAAACATAGATTCATTTATAAAATTTAAATTAATTTTAATAATAGTTTTTTAGAGAGGGAGATGTAGAGTCCAAAAAAGAAGCAAAATATTTTTCTTAATTTCTTGATAAATAATAGGATTACACTTAAATGATTTTGAATAGCACTTATATTAAATATATATATATATATATATATATATATATATAACATTATGTAGGTTTATTAATAAAAATAGGCTAAATTATATTTTTAGTTGCTCTATTTATTTTTATGTTTCAATTTAATTTTATTATTTTTGAAATGTTCAATTTGATCCTTTGATTTTTAAAATATGTTCAATATTTATATTTCTATCCAAATTAATACCGATGACATTAATGAAATTAGATGAAATGACTACATTTTTTTAAAATTAAAGAACCAAATTAAATATTTAAAAAATAGCAGGATCAAATTAAAAATTTTAAAAATAGTAGAACCTAATTGAATAAAAATTTATCTAATATTTTGTTTATCTAGATAAATTTAAATTTTCTTTTACTTATCCGAATAAAGATCATGAAAGACAACAAATTAAGTACTTGAAATTTAAAAAAATATATATTACAAAATGAAAGGATTATCTAATAAAATAAGTTGTAAAATAGATAAAATAAAATTCAAATATTTTTTTAAAAAAATATTTGATAAATTTTTTTTCAATTTAATTTCTCTATTTATGAAATATTGAATTCAATATTTTTATTTTAATTGATTCAATTTGATTCTCTAATTTTTAAATAGTATTCAATATTATCATATATCCAATTTTATTAACATAACACCGTGAATATCAAATTGGACCGAAAAATAATATTGAACATTTAAAAAAAATACAATATAAAATTAAATTATTTAAAATAATAAAACCAAATTAAATAATAAAAATAAATAAATAAATTAAAAAGATAATTTAAACTATAAAATACTAATAAACAATATATCATATTTTATGTAAAAAAAAATATCATATGATTCATATCACAAAATTGGCCTCGTCATGCGGCTTACACGACTTTTTTTTTGGTAAATCAGCATTCCATCACCTAGAAATAATTTTTTTTTTAGTAAAGTGACAGAATTATTAACATCAAATTAGTAAAATCTCTTTTAAAAAAAATATAAAATTAGTAAAATATAGATTATGTGAAATTAAAATTCTACAAATGTTCAAGCATATCACATTTTTTTATTCAATTGTCTCGGGTAAATATTTTTTAAAATCTCTTTGATGAAATAAGTCTAAAATATATAGTGGTGGATTATGTTGAACATTAAAATCTTATCTAAAATCCATTAGTAATGTGATCCAACTTGGACTGAATAAAAGATTCTAGAACATTCCAGTTAGCTTTTGCCTAAATGTTATTTCTTGTCCAACTCCATTCATTTAATTTCTAGAACAATTAAGTTAAATAAGGAAGGTCAAATTAGATAATCACGATTCCGTCATAAAAAGAAGATAATCACGATTCCCCCACATTCCCAATCCTATAAATATTTCACCAAAGTGATATGATATGTTTGATATATTACCATATTGAATGTCTCTCTAACCAATTAAAGTATCTTTATATATTCACCTCTAAATCTTCAGAATATCACCAACACCACCCTAAGAAGAATAAAAAATCTCCCTTCAACAACTCGGAATAATAATATTCACAAATCAACATAGCTAAATAATAAAATTGGAATGAACGACTTTTCTTCAATCAAATTATATGTGGTCCTATGTTGTAATGTGAACACATGGCACGAGTTTACACTTCTCTTAGAAGCCAGAATATATCTTTTGATAGACTTTGAATATCTACCCAATATCATAAAGAGAAAT